AAGAGATAGATAAAGAGAATGTTTAAGTTAGAAGTTGAGAATAGTCTGATAAGACTACAAACCGGATGTGAGTAACGTAGCACTTCCGGTTTTCGAGAAATCACGTGATTTCTATTTCAAAGTGTGGTTTCGCCACACAAAATCTCCGAAGTTCTCAATTAATTAAATACATTTTTTTTTTTTGGTGAACATTTGGTTCACTGGTTTGCTAGTTTCTTTATAATGTGCTAGTTGGTTATTTGCATCAATAAGTTCCTTTTCTAGGTCTGTGATACGTTGAAGAGCCCTCTCATATGTGTTGAACTGCTGGTCAAAGCTGTTGACAGTGTCGTTAAGATGGTCTCGTTGAAGAACTTCCATGTGTTCCGAGTGAAGTTGGGATAGTTCGCTCTTGAGCTGGGTGTTCCTTTGAATATTTCATTTCCTTTTCACCCTCATCACGTTCACGAAGTAGTTGACGACAAGTTTCCTTTGTTAGCTTGAGTTCTTCCAGGGCTAGTTTCAATTTAAGCTCTGTACTTTGAACTGCAGCTTTGCGGGTCATCATTGTTATTTGTGTATAAAAATTCAATAAGCTGAAATTAATAAAAGAATATATGAGTTTCTTTTTACAGTAATATTTAAAGCAAACAGAGTAATTAATGAGTTTAAATGATTATGAAAACAAAATAGATAGATATATTAAAAAGGGGGTAGAAAATAATACATAAAATATATATTAAATTTTACTTTTACTACTTTAAAAATGATTAATGTATGATCAACTCAATATCATATAATATTTTTAAGACCAATAATATCAAGTTTTAATACTTTTACATATAATAACTATGTAGGATTTAATTTCCCAAATCTTAAATAGTAACTTAACTTAGCAGCAAAGTATAATAAAAAGTAAGTATGATTTGTTCAAACTTTGCTTTTGTAATAAGTTGTCATAATAAATATTGAGAACAATACTGTATCAGAAGTGTCAAAAGATATTAATAACAGCAAGTACTATGAATTTTTAATTATTCTGATGTTCACTGGATAGGGACGAAATGAGCGAGGATGAATCCTTTAGACCTTAAGATTTCCTAACAAGAAGTCCATGTAAAAAAAAAAATCCCGCACCTGTGAGAGAAACTGAGTGGCGACAATCGCAATTACAAATACCTACGAACTTGACCAGAGAGTTTATAATACCTATGCACCGTAATTTAGAGGGCTTAATTGAAGAGGCTGCAGCAAGTATAAGATTAAGTATAAGATTTTCGTTCTATGCCGAAGGCTGAATGTAATATAATTTTTAGAAGTGAAAATAATTTATGTTGGCGAAAAACTTGACCGCTGAACTTGCGTGACCGTCACGTTTAGATATTTACATTTTAAACACAGTTTTATAATACCGTAATTTGGTAAAGTTATATATTATGAAGTTTCATATCTTTTCGTGACATATTTACACTCTATTTTTTATTGTTCGATTCTTCACATCAACAAGATGTTCTACAACCCACGGCTTATTTTTTCAATAAGTTATTATCCCGGAAAAGATTGGAAAGCTGGCGTCCTGTTTACCTCAAAGCATTCAAATAAAACAAAATATATTAATCCCTCTAGTTAAGTCCTAACAATAAAATTTAAATATTTAGAAAGAAAGAACAAAATTTATTTAGCATAATCTTCTGTGAACGAATATTTTGTAAGGCATATTTTTTTAAATATACTCATTGTTTATATTATCCGAAGTCACAATGGCATAATTTTATGATTAATCAAGCATATATTTACATCTGGCAAAATTTTACTCTACATAATTTCGTTAAGCATTTCTGTCTGTGTATGTGGCCAGTGGGTTAAGTTAGGTTAGGCTGCGTAGTTTCATCGATAGTTTAACTTGACTATACATTGTTAAAATATTAGAGAAAAAAATAACCATTTGTAATTATTAGATAATGCATTTGACCTGACATTAACTATAGTCAAATTTAAATAGGGATGAAACTACGCGATCTTAGTGTTGCGAACAATAAAAACTGTCTTTAATTATTATTTTATTTATGTCTGTCTTTTTTTATACGAATCAAAATTTGAATTAGAGAAACAATACGATAATTAAAAATAAGCATCCCGTATTTATTGTATTGCGTTTAGTTTTTTGTAAGTCAGGTATTATATGAGATAGGGAGAATTCGAAAGTTTTAATCTGAACCAGAGATCCGATGTAAAATCGAAAGAGGTTTCTAACCAGTTTATGTTAAGACAAACTTACTGTAAAGTTGTAGAATTAAACATTGCCATTATTTTCTTTTTCAAAATTCAATAACATAGCGTACAATATCATGTCACATTATAGTAAATTGTAATAACTTTCATTCAATAAAAGCTTTACACTAATGCACAAACACCAACTTATAATAAAATATTACTTAAATATGAATTGTAGAATGTGGCTGTATTCGTTTTACACGAAATGTGCACATATGGCAAAGATGGGGGCATTTCATCTACATCAAAAACGCGTATAAAGTTAACTGTAATGCAAGTTTAAATGTTATTCGTAACACGTTCTAAAATATTCCACTCTCTCATTTCTCTGAACATAAATTAAATTGCGTAATTGAATGATGGAATATTACAATGAGGAATATTTAGGAGAACATGTTCTATACGAAATAATAAAGTCATATATGAAGGAACACTGTAGTTTTATTTCTCACTGAACACGGGATATTACAAAGCCCTTATATAACTTATCCTAGATACAAAAATGTATACGCGCGAACTACGAAGGGCGACTGGCTCAATCGCTCGTCGTCGCACCACTCGTACAGTAAATGCTTAGTTGACAACTAGCAAACCAGTGAACCAAATGTTCACCAAAAAAAAATGTATTTAATTAATTGAGAACTACGGAGATTTTGTGTGGTTTCGTTTGAAATAGAAATCACGTGATTTCTCGAAAACCGGAAGTGCTACGTTACTCACATCCGGTTTGTAGTCTTATCAGACTATTCTCAACTTGTAACTTAAACATTCTCTTTATCTATCTCTTACGGTTTGGCCGCTGAAACAGCACCACGGACGGACGGACGGACGGACTTGTCTAATAGATAAGAGATACTGTGTCCCTACAAACATATTGTCTTTAGTTATATTTTTAATAATTTAAGCATGTAACCTGCTACTAGATGTTTAAATCTAAAGAAAATTTTTCTAGAAAAAAAGTGAGTGTGCTTATGACCACACGACTGAAGTAAAACTTCTTTAGCTCTATCTGTATGTATACATACATAAGTGTGTACAATATATACATGTATGTACCTATACATATATTAATTTTCTAGAAATATTTAAATTTATTTTATGTTTTTATTAGTAAACAAAAAAGTCAAATTTCGGAGCCGCTCGCTATTTTTTTTAAATTACGCCTAATAAGACCTTTGCTCATGGATGCTCTTTTTGAGCAGATTATAATAATCTGTGACCTCGTAGTAATAAGAGATCGGTTTTATTATTTGGAAAAAAAAATAAAAATGTTAAACTTCCTATTATAACTTTTCTCTATGCTTCCTTCTTGTGCTCTGTGATTGAGTGATAAGCATTTTTGTCTTAATTACACATTTATCTTTGCTGTTTTATATATCTAGATAATTGTGACAATACAGGCTTCCATATTTGCAAAGATTCTCACGAGAAAAATGATCTGAAAATCATAAATTTAACCTGAAGATTTCTTGATAGAAAAAAATAAACATACGGCGGATTTCAATGGCGTTGAATTAATAGTAAAATACTAAATTGTTATAAATTACGTCGTGTAATTAATTACAAAACCTATTTCAATAGTTAACATCAAGTAAGCATGTAGATTCATGTATTTTGTGACGGGTATTGTTTATTGTTTACCGATGAATCACCGATGACACTTTTCGTAACGTGTAACGCATTAGCCAGCTGACCCCCCAAGTCAAGCGTGCGTAAAGAAATTCCACTTCAATAATTCCACGCGGACCAGGCAGCAGACGGGATTCGAACGCTCACCCTTTGCTATCCGGGCGAATGCACCGACCATTATGGCCTTGACGGTCGTGTTGAATTTTCTTTAGCCTTTTTTAAGCTGCAAGTCAGTGCCACCTCTTTGCATAGTAGGTAACCCACAATGGCAAATGAACCTTAACAAGTAATGTATTACTATGTACCTTTACAAGTATTAAACATTTGATAAAAGAAACAACAATTATAGTTATATTTTTAATAATTTAAGCATATAACTGATGTGACTAGATGTTTAAATCTAAAGAAATTTAACTAGGTAGGAAAGCGAAGGGTGCGGGTTCAAGTCCCGTCTGCTGTCTGGTCCGCGTGGAATTTTTCCTAGTAAAGATTTCGTAAGATTTAAACATGTCTTTATTCAAACGAGTACGTAGACGGACAACAAATCACTATAACACTATACAAAATCACTATACAAACTAAAATGTGCCTCTTGTGTTTGAATAATTACAAGAAATATTTAAAGATGTCTTAGTAACAGAATAAAATCTTCATTTAAAAACAAAATTATTTGTTAATTACTGTTAATGTTTTATTTACTAACGGCAGCCCTCGATGTCGTCCGCATTAACTTTAGTTCCCGTTATTTTAGATTGAGACATAGAATAGTTTTATACCAGAAAATGTAAGGTTTCTCTGGAATTCTTAAACAACTAAAAGGCTATGTGAAAGCTAGAATTGAAATGAATTTCGAGTATCCGAGTGTATACTATTATAACTCGACTTAGCAACCATAGAATGCTAATTCAACAATAATGTGTAAAACTGTAATTTTCCATAGAATTAAACTGCAGAGTTGCACAAACGCAGCCCTCATATTATTTCATCAATTCCAATAGTCAGTAAGACTTCGGCAACGAGAAAGACCGGTCCATACGGGTAGCTCAGAACTTGGTCCCTGAGTTTGCGTGTGTAATTTTGTAATTAATTTCCATTAAATCCGTATCCGGCAATTTTGAGTTTTTTTTTAAAGGCCGAACAGCGCTGGCCTCCTTACAGTTTATCTCTACTGTTTTATTTTGTGTGTGCGAAAATTTCCACACAAATTATTTAATACCTAGCTACTGAAACTTTCCTTTTCACATTTTGGAATTTCGATGGACAAGGGCGGGGTTTCAAGGGCTGAACTTCAAAAGCGAAATGAATTATCGTGAACTTCATCGTGGCGTGTCCTACCCTACGGCATTATAAAATATGTAAGTTAGATTAGACGAAGATGATATATCAAAAGTTTACTTTAAGACATCAGGCGCTGATGTAGTTGTTATACTGTCCGAAATGCACTATGTTCCAGATGCACTATGTTCCAGTGAAGCAGCTCCGAAGTAGAGGGGTGGTGGCACATTCTCGCACAGTTGACACAACCTTCAAAATGAGCGTACCGCGTCTATGTTTACTCTGTGCAGTGCTCTGTATAAATAATTCTGTTGCATCCGTGCAAGATGTGCCGGTTCCCGTTCGAGATGAGCCGGTTAAAAGGATCCAGTTACTTGACGGTGTTCGTGTGACAATACCGGCAAATAATACCAGGAGGATTTTGTCATTTGAAATTGATACCAATAGAAGTATGGGTGAAGGTGGGTCGAAAATTCAAGTTTCTTTCCTATTCTTTCAGTAATTTTAATCAAAAGTTGAGTAATACTGACATAGAAATTAATACGAAATTTACTTTATCATAATTCTTAATGTAATGAAAGTTATTTTGAAAGTTTTTTTGAAGTAAAAAAACAATTTAAAGAAACAAAATAATATTTGGATTTGTCCTTATGATAGAAATCATTATACATTGCAGTACTTTAGAAATACAATGAACGACTTTTGTCACATTTCCAAATATTATATTTAGATTTAATTATTAAAATGGTAGCTTTATATATTAGCTACATAAAAAATATGATTAACAATTTACAATTTTTACCATTTTTCCATAATAGTGTAACTAAAACTAAAAAGTTAAACCTTTATATTGATATAATATTTTTTACAGAATAAACAGATATGATAAAGGGACACAAAGACTATGTTCGGAAAGCAAATCTACTATTTATATACCTACTTAAAAAAAGTTTTTCATATTAGCGTGTTTTAAGTTTGAAGCTTATTATTTTTATCGCTGAACCGTTTTTATTTTGATAAGGTAGGAAAAAGATAGTATGAACAATTTCATCAATCCATTTTCTCTCTGCGCTCTACATTTTATGTTATTCTATGGAAACGCTGATATTTATGAAAATTTATAAATCTTTTCAGATATTTTAAATGAATGCTTTGAATAAGCATTGTTTGACATTAACATACTGAATGTTTATTAGTAAAATATTCCAAAATGGTCAACCTTGCTGTGGTTATATCACGCTTGTCATGCTCTTGCCTTTAATAAAGTTCATTAATTTATGTTATAACTACCTAACCTCAAAATAAAAAATAAAATAACTGACCAAGCTAAAAAAACGTTTAAAAATTCTGACCAAAAAGAATGTTGGTTGCAGATCGCGACGTGACATAAAATAAGTACGTAGGTTAATTATGCTCGTTACAAACTACACCAAATACTTTGACCACATGAATAAAAACTATTAATTAGGATTCCGTACTCACACAAATTGTGATAAGGGAATCAATATTTACAAAACCTCCACTTCAAATGGTTATTATGTATGTCCTTGTACAATAGTACGGAGGCCTTCAAGAATGAGGTCCTTGGGATGTTTTCATATCCATAAGAAATTAATAATCCCACAATTGTATTGGTGCGAAAGAAAACAATAAATGTGGGTTTGGCGGATATCCCGCTAGATTGGTGCGCCTATTTATGGAAGACGTCCGTAAAGAACATCCACATTTAAAGAACACATAGTTGAGTCCAGGCCGGCAAGGATAAACAAAACAATAGGCTATTTGAGAAGTCTTCGAAAACATTCCTAGGTTATTATTATATTAGTGTATAGTGACTCTATATCCCTTGAGGAGGCCTATGTCTAGCAGTAGACGTGCATCGGCTGGTGATTATGATACAAAAAAGATATCATGGATATCACACTAATATTATAAAGGCGAAAGTTTGTGAGTGTGTGAGTGTATATATTTGTTACTTCTTCACGTCTAAACGGCTGGGTTCATTTTAATAAAATTTGGAATGGAATTAGCTGACACCCTGGATTAACAAATATTCCTAATAAACTGCGTGTAACACCGCGGGGCACAGCTAGTTTATAATAAATCACTGTTGCGTACCTATGTACGATTTTACACAGAATTTATATTTTTGATTTTTTACTGATCTATATCAGATAAAATATAAATTCTGTTTTGTATATATGTATGCCGCGGAAACGACTCTCTAGCCAATATTACAGGCATGTGACGGTGCGTCACACAGCTGTCATTAAAACTTCAAACAGTAAAATGTAATATCACGGCAGCATGCTTACAAGCGTATCGTCATTTTCGGCTCCGCCTATCCTAGGCGTTTTCGGTCACGACAATAGATTAAAAAAAACTTTTCTATTTCATGATTGTTAGTTATATTATCAATTACTTTTTTAATAGAATAGTGAAATCGCTTCCAATATTCATGTTAAATACACATGCCAATAATTGATACTTTATTTTTCATTGCTGGTAATGTTACTCGGTAATGTACAAGTAACAAGGGTTTCAAATAGCCTATTGGGTCCAGTCCCTATAGCATGAGCACTACATTATACATTTTATCACGTTACTTATCGTGTGTAACTGTCAAACTTCATAGTAATTTGACAATTGAGCGTGATAAAAACGTGCTATATATCATATCGCGGTGCCCAGGCTAGGAAGGCAGGACGGCATAGTGAGGATGACTGATTTAGCGGCACACTTTTCTCTCGAATCTAGCCAATGTTACGACTGGACTCCACTTACACTTAACATACAAACGTACACAAAACTAACTCTCTGATGTTAAGTGTAGAGATCAATTCATAGAGTACATTGTTATAGATCAATTTACATCTCTACACTTAAATCAGAGAGTTTTTGTTTACGAGGCAAGCACGTAAAAACACGCTGCTTCTCTGTACATGGACAGGTAATTCTTTTAAAAAACAGGATATATTCGTTTTGGGTTCCGTTTCTCAAAGGAAAAACGGGACACTTATAGGACCACTTTGTTGTCCGTCTGTCCGTCAAGACCCTTTATCTCGGGAAAGCGTGGTGGTGTAGAGTTGAAATTTTAACCATATACTCAAATCTACAGTCCCTAAAAGCTGTGAAAAATTCACACTTCTATGTAACGTAAAAAATAGATACGGCTACATTTATGTTGCGTGCCTACAATATTTGTACGGCACCCTCGGTGGGCGAGTCCGACTCGCACTTGTCCTGTTTTTTATGAATATCTATGTCAGGCTGCAACCTGTCACTATTATTCCGGACAACATCTATGCTCGCTCTTATCAAAGCTATTTAGTCATGGCATGGTGAATTTTATTGCAGCCTCACATTTTCTTTCCTTGCAGCATGATAAGAATATCTTGTTTTAAACTTTCATGGTCACTAACATTATAGTAATATAAGTTATTTACTCCGTAAGCGCCATGATTAAGTAAATAACTTACATTTATTTACTTAATCATGGCGCTTGCAACAGTGCCGAAATATCGGAAACTTGCTAAAAACAAGGTACATGGTAACAATCTCGTAAATAACTTATATTACTATAATGATAAGGATATACTGTCCAACTTATAAAATACCATAAACAAAATAGCTATGTAAAGTGCTATCATCAGACCCAACTAATACCAAATATGTCATCGTTCAGGGGTGAGATGTTTAGGTATTCATTTTTTACTCTTAATCTGCCCTTTGATGTTCCAACCAAATCCAACCGCAAAGTGTAAGAGATGATGATAAAGCGTGTATGTCAGACTGCACAATGTCGTGAACTGACTTTAAGTTACTCCCTTATTGTATAATGAGGGCACAAGTTGATTTCACCACCAAGGAACGAGTATCCAAACTCGATTTAAGTCTCAACATTCACTTTTACAGCGAAGCATACGTATAAGTAGAATGTGCAGTTAATGATACTATGAGAATGCATATCAGGCTCTTTTGACCAAGTTTAGAATGTTGAATTATTTAGCAACGGGTTAGTTCGCCGTTATTTTTTTTTTATAAGCGAACCTATGGTCTATAGGGCTTTGTGTTAGGTCAGCAAAGTATTGGTCAAAATATTTTGTTACAATTTTTTTTGCAATAAAAGTTTTGTTTCATTGTACCTACCTGCTTACAAATTATTTTTGGACAAATGGATAGTTTAATATATGGATAAGACACATCACACAATCGTATGTATTTTGTTCGACCAATAAGTTCAAAAAGCACGTATCTGAATGGTCTCTCCTTGAAATGTGAGCTATCCAATAGCTAACTGTTCTAGTACAAAGCTAGAATTAAAGTGCGTTGTTGCATAAACTTTAATCCAAGTTATCACACATCGTGTTCTCTATCTAACATCATGACAATCCAATTTTATTGAATTGATACAGCAGTGTATTACGTCAATTTATTCGTATAACATCACAGAGCATTCTGCATGCACATAATTGTTGTATAATAAAAGAGAGGCATGACTTCCTTTACGGAAGTCTTGTTTTTATTTTGTTGTGCTCGTGAAAGTGGAGAAATTGCGTGAACACGAATAATCAGAGCGCTTACACTGGCTATCGATGCTGGTAACTGCGACGCTTATTAATCAGACCGATCAACCTCAATCGTGAAATCATATTAACCGTACTGTAATGATAACTCAACACCCTACTAAATATAAAAAAATGGCGATTTAATAAGAAGACTTAGCGATAAAATGATACAAGATATTTTTAAATGTTAATTGTATTTTTGAGCATTTAACTGCTAGGTTTTTAAATCTAAAGATTTACTTAAAATATTGACTGGAAAAAAATCCACTCGGTCCAGGTTTCAGACAGGATTCGAACCCGCAATCCGGGCGGACGAATTAACTAATTATACTACCCAGACCCTAACGGCCGTGTCGAATTTCTATCAAGTATTTCTCAGGCTGTAAGGTAGTTTTATCTCTTCTCATTGTAGGTAAGCTACAATATCAAACTTATACTTTTACAAGTATTAAACATTTCAAAGAAGAAATAGCAATACAATTGTAGGTCTTTATATTTTTAAGCATTTAACTGCTAGATTTTTAAAATTTTAAGAGAATATTTACTAAAAACAAAAACCACTATGCATTTGCATATTTTTATTTTATAAAAGGTTGCAACCTAATATCACAAAATCGACAGTACTAGCATGCCTGATTATAAGCAGCCCCTATAGCCTGAATATCTAGATATAATCTGATAATACAACACAGAACTTATAACTCGCGCATTGTATATACATACCTTAAACACAAAGCCGTAGAGTCACAGAACAAAGCATAGCGTAGAGCCCAGTAACCTTACTGTCCGACGGACAGACGGACGGGAACACACTACCACCACCACCAAAACGAGTTGTTATTTCCACAGAAATTGGTTCATTTCTGTGGTTATTTTACTGTGGACCATGTAATTGAATTCAAGTGTAATAGCTTTTTTTTAAAAGAATTATTGGAGATATTGTATATTACTGTTATATTTGTTTTTGCCTTAGTAACCTTGATATCCGTGTTCTTTATTAATCCGCCAGTGATGCTTTTTATTTTACATAACACTATCATTGCCCAATGATTGCAATAATTATGAATTAACTATCACTTAGTTGGACAAAGTTTGGTTTATTGATGCATTTTTAAAAGATTGACTCATTTTTGTTTGAAAAAGAAACGCACACCTCATCAATATTACATACGAGTAGACGAATGTAAGCCCAAGACGAAGTCGAGGATTTACCATAGTCACGAGTTTGTAAATACCAATTCCGCACGAATATCATACAACGTTTTTCAATACATTTCCATTTTTTAAAGAAGAAAGATTTTTTTAAATAAGGAGATGGAGCGCGTTTCCACTTGGCGCCACGTGCCAGTGGTGAAAATTTGCACTACATCTTTCGACTCTTTTTTTCTTTTTTATTATTAAAGTGAGACAAACGTATAGATCAAAAGCGCTTCCAAGGAGGTTCGATCGAAACTAAAGAAAATCCGTAAAGGATAGAGTCTGTGCGGAAAGAGAATGGGATTTAGATTGGAGGGCGCTGTAGTGCTTTTCTACCGTATTTGTAAGGTTTTACCCCTTTTAAACATGATTAAATACAAAAATCTGCAAGAAATCACAACAAACAAATCCGTATCAATAAAAAACTTTGACGTTTTACAGATTGCTGGGTTTGATTGCCAAATAAAAATCATAATGTTAGTTCCGTTTTTCGCCACGCCCATTCTCTTGCCGCACAGATTCCACGCACGGTGCCTTAAACTGGAGCATGCGGGAGCATTTTTTCCGCACGCTCTATGTGTGCTACGTACTTTTGATCTTTCGAACAATGTATACAACCTCTGTAAATGCAATTTTAAGCAAATGTGTTGAAAAGTTATATTACTTAGTAGTAGGTTTCTTTTGTCCTGGTCATTTAGCAAAAATAAAGCGGCCATATACTAATGAGAACAACGAGTACCTACCGTATCATAGTAGAATATTTAAAACGAGATCAAGCATAACGTTGAAAAATCACGTTTCACGCATAGAGCTTTTTTTATGTTATTTAATATTTATTACTGGTTGTAATAGCGGTCATAATTCAAATATAGAGCCATGAGTTTAATAGCCAAACAACTGAAAGGTACGAAAATTAATGAGGATAGAATAAAAGTTTGTTGCGCTTTCCATTTTTAAATGTTCTACTGATTTTGCAACTTTGTAACTCTTCTCAATACTTTTGTTACAGAACGTGGTAAGAAAAATAAACTTCTGGAGAGGATACTGCCACTGTTCATCATGCCATTCCTTCTGCAATCTGCCATAGTGCCGCTCTTCTTGAGCATGCTTAAGTTCATGCTTTTCAAATCTCTAATGGTCGGAAAATTGGCGTTGACGCTGATTATATTCAACGCATTCAAAAATCATAATGTCGTCAAAGGAAGAGACGCAATGATGGCTGATGCCCACTACGGATACCATGGAAATGAGTATGGAGCTTACATCAACTGAAGAAAGAAACGGCTCTAAGAGGATTCAATTAACTAATGGAGCCTCATTACAACAAACGAAACAAAAGTTTCTGGAGCACTGTACCCCTAGCACGAACCATTATCGAATTCGAATAGTTTGCGAGTGCGAAATGTCAATGTCAAATTTTGTATGAAAACTTGAACAGCAGAGCCACAGTACGTGACGTGGACTAAAAATCAATACACATTTGACAATGACATTCCGGACTCGCAAACTATTCGAATTCGATATTGGTTCGTGCTAAGGGTACTGTTTAAAGTTAAACATTGTTTAGAATTGGTTGTATCATTTTTGTTTATAAAATCAGATAGAGATGGCATCATTATTAAACAATGACTAAATTTAAACAATGTTTGAAAATAAAACTAGTTTTTACGGGTTAATGCACGAAACTTTATTTATTTATTGACGTTTCGCAGCCTTTTCATTAACCCGTAAAAACTAGTTTTTTAATGAGTGATGTGCGTGAAAACCTAAGAAACAAAAAATGTTTGAAAACTTTTGTGGTAAGACCGTTAAAGTTTAAATGAAAAGTGATTTAAATGTTTTGATTTCAAGAAAGAAGAAAATAATAGAATCTTAAAAAGTAGCATTTTAATGACAATCTCGCTGCATTAGTGTGAAGATAATATCAAAAGCAAAAAACTTCTGTATAAATTAAAATTACGTTAGTAATTAATCCAATCATAAAAGGAACATGTCTGACTCGTGAAATATCTTTGTGTGACAACCGTTGCAAAACAGTTTTTATGTTAGTTGTTTTCCAGTCCAACTTTGTTTTTATGTTTTACTAGAGGTCGCCCGCGACTTCGTCTGCGTTAACTTAGTTTCTTGAAAATTCCTCTGAAACCTAACATTTTTTCGGGACAAAAGTAGCCTATGTGTTAATCCAGGGTGTCAGCTAACTCCATACCAAATTTTATTAAAATCGCTTCAGCCGTTTAGACGTGAAGAAGTAACAAACATACACACTCACATACTCACAAACTTTCGCCTTTATAATATTAGTGTGATTATTGTCACTTTGTTTTGTTACAGTTATAGTAATAGCGGGTTGTATAGCTTTAGTCCCTCTCTAAGTCATATGTAATATAATATTTCAACTACTTAATTTATTATTTAATAGGTTTATATGTAGGTAAGTAGGTTAATCTATTGTAATACTTAGTACATAGGTTATACTTAAGTTGGTACCTAATAAGTTAAGGTTTGTTAACATACTTCTTTTAAAGTAAAATTATTCTTTTTATTTGCCTGTTTTTAATTTATTTGCTATTTTTTATGCTTCTTCTGCTATTGCTTAACATCATTTTTCATAAAAAAAAAATATCAAATATTAACCGTCCGTCTTAATTAGTTTTTTTTTTGAGAAATCTACAAAAACCTTAAAGTTTTTAGGGATAAAAAGTATCTTATGTCTCAATCCTGATGATAAACTATATGTGTGCCAAATTTCATTCTAATTCGTTGTGACGTTTTTGCGTAATTAAGTAATAAACATACAAACTTTCACATTTATAATGTTATTTAAGTAGAATGATGGAAAAAAGAAAAAAGCGTGAAGAATGTGTATAAAATAATATACTTTCCAAGTTTGTTCGGAAAGTCTATTATTTTATACGCAGAGGAAGTACTTACTAAGCCACTATTTGATATATTAGGCTAATAAAATCTAAATTTTTCTGTGAACGAAGCTACATTAAATTTTCTATTTCATTCCTATTGAATCCATTTTCTGCACTTCTCACAAACGTCCCAAAATTAGAATGTTCTTATTTCACAAGCATTTTAAAATATTAAAAGAATTGATTAATACAGGCACATTATTTTTTGAGTTACTTCATTCAAGTATGTGATATATCCAATCCTAGAAAATTCCTAGGTAAGTATTCTCCTCATGAAACAGAATGCCTCAAGGCACGGTCTTCTACACATATCTTTAGCATCATAAACACATTATACACACTCGCTGTATTTTGCGATTTCTAAGAACCAAACACGAACTTTGACAGCTCCTTAATCGTATCGTAACGTCAAAGTTTCTATGAAAACTCTGCAGCGCCCCTAACGGACGTAAGAAGAAATCGGCGTCTTCCATACAAAATTCGACGATAACGATACGATTACGCATGTGTCAAAGTTCGGCCTAAGGTCTCTGATATCACCTTCAGAACATGATCCATTTAATCATAACGGGTAGGTACTTAGGCTTTTGCCTTGTTTTTACACTCTACCCAACATAAGTCGTTGTTTTTTAAAGTTTAATCAATTCGTTGCTTTTTTAACAGTTAGATAAAGATAAATTAAAATAAATAAATTCTGTTGAGTTTCATCATCATCAATCATCAACAGCCTATTAATTTCCCCACTGCTGAGGCACAGGCCTTCCCTATGGATGGAATAGGGTTATTGGGCCATGACCCACCACGCGGGCCCAGTGCGGATTGGCGGGTGCTAACGACTGCAGATGCAGCCGAGACCAACGACTTAACGTGCCTTCCGAAGCACGGAGGAGCTCGAGATAATAAATTTTTGGTCACCCATCCAATGACCGACCACTGCGAAACTTCAACGATCGCAGGCGTGCGCTAATCACTTGCGCCATCGAGCTCCTCAGTTTATATATTGTATGATAATTACAGAAGTATGTAGTACTCCTTTTTACTTATACAACGATATAAAATTTATTTTATCTCTCCCCGTTAACAGTTAATTACTTTCTACTATTGAAATATGATGTTATAATTAGAGTAACGCCCAGTTATCCCGCTGCCCACGAAGGTAAGTACTTTGAGCATGCCTTTCTTCACTAATGTTCTTTGAGGTCCAGACTTATGCGTGCATTTACTATCTTTGCGGCTACTAACTATAGAAATTTCACCCGCTATTATTATGGCGGCATTGGTGCGTTACAAATAAGTCACGTTTTGACTTAATTCTATGGACCGCCGTGGTTTCATTTTTTAGCCCAGTAAAGTCAATTTCAAAAACCGGCCAAGTGTGCATCTAGCCGTGTGCAACATAAGGTTCCGTAGGTATAAATCACAAAGTGCAAACTTACTGTGACCACCGGTACTGGCAAAAGTCTCTCACTCCAATGAGAATGAGCGTAAATATTATGAGTAATTTAGGAATTTACATTCTACGGGGAGTTATGATTCATAAACTTATTATTTATAGCTTTTTACACAACTGACAATGCATGGGTAATTTTCAAAGGATTTGTTCGATTTTCGTTGTTCTATGTACATTTATATGTTTGTCGATTATTGCTCGTAAAAATCTTAAGCCTGATTAACTGTGATCATTTTCCCTTTAAATTTATTATTGAAAGTACTACCGTGAATATACCTACACTTGCCCACATGAAAAAAAATTAAAAAGAAAAAGCATCTGAGAAAAAAAAAACTATTCGTAAAATAAACCACCGTATAAACCATATAAAATACACAACCTTTAAAATGGGACTTTTGGCAAACTATGAATCGGTAGCAATAAATTGCTACTAATTAGGTTAATACTTCACATAGGTATCCCTTTATATCTTATATCTCATAAACCTGTAATAGTATTAGGAGATCCATCTAACTAATTGATACGGCGATACCGCACTCATTTTGTGTGGTCTAAAACTTTTTTTATGATTTTATTTTACCCCTTCGTCATTGTAATATTTGACAAATTATCTTTTCAACATATTTGCTCAAAAATGCATTTACGAAAGTTGTATATATTGTTCGAAAATTCAAAATTATGGGCCCTACAGCGGAGCGTGCTATAAAATTCATTAAGCACGGTACATGGCACCGTGCGTATTCTTTACGGTTTTTTTTATTTCGATCGAACCTGCTCGGAAGCGCTTATCGTCTATACCTGTTTCTCACTTTAATACTAAAAATGAGGCGAAATATTTATGTAGTTCAAATTTTCACCACCGCAAGTGGCGTCATTTAGAAATGCGCGCAATTATCTTATTAGAAAAAAAATGCTTCATAACTTTAATTATGTATAATGTTTTCTCGAAAATGTGTTGAAAAACCTTGTATGACGGTCGTGCGGATTGGTATTATCAACTCGTGACTATGGTAAGCCCTCGACTTCGTCTTGGGCTTACATTAATCTGCGGTAAGTTGGTTATTACTCGTTTGTAATAACTTACCGCACTTGTATCATAAATAACTACATATTTTAATACTGAAAGTCTAAACTAGGAGGACCAAGAGACGGATATAGTGAAAATAAGGATTAACTCCTTGTTGGCTACGGAAACCCTAAAATATCAACCCTTTGCAGCAGTAATTTAAATTTTATGTAGCCTTCGTTTTATAAACTGTTACATCCATTTCTACTGCAATTTGATATTAAGTTATTCATATAACCAAATACATAATTAGACGGCGAGACTTATATTTACTTTGAAGAATGCATAAACAAAGCTTTCACTCAGCTATGTTCAAGTTAAAAATAACAAAAATAGTAACCAAAACTTGCTGCCTTATTGAGAACTGTTACAAAAATTACTTTCACTGTTTCGTTTTCGTAACCTATAAATTACAAAACAAAAACAAATAGGAGCAACGCGCATTATTTACCTTAAAATGAGTAGTGTTAGTAGTTAGTATCTACTGACAAAATAACACTTCTTTGTTTCGTAGATGGTTACGAAAAATGGTAAAAAAGTGGTCAAAAAGGTACATGTTACATAATACGTATTATCCCTCAGATTATCCAAAATTTTCCTTTTTCAGTTGACTCAATGTTCTTTTGAGCTAAGAAAGTGAATTTAATAAAAATAGAGTAAGATTATAATATGTTCAAATTGATTTATTGAATGCTCTTTGAATTACATACGAGTGGAGTACTTATGCGAATTTAATGAGAGGAATTTGCTCACTCAAATAAGACATCATCTTTATTACCTGATAAATAGACTGCTGACTGCATAACAACAATTCGCTTCTAATTTGGCAATACGAAAGTCCGGTAATTGCCTGACTTGCATTAAGTCGGGCACGCTCTCTTGTCGCGACTACACTTCGCTACAACGTTCAAATATTCTCTCACGGGGACCATGAGAGCTGCGGGTGGCGGGCACCTCTTACGTTCCCGGTTTTCTTCCCCACACGCTTTAACCCGCAGGCCAGTACTCAGTTAAGCGGTCTAC